TGTGGGACTTGTCATCTGGGATCTGTCTTGTTTCCCTCTGTTCTATTTGTTTCATTTGGCTGTTCCCTTCCTCTCTTCTTTGCCTCTTTGCCTTTTGGCTGTGTGCAAGTGGGTCGATATGATACACGGGGGTGGGGGCAGCCGCCGCTCAACCTACATCCACGTGGGCGGCCTTGTACGCAAGAGGTTCTGAACAGGGGGAGTTGTAAAGAAGAAGATTAAAAACGAATTTAAGATTTTTTTGTTTTTTTGGTTTTTTCGCTTAGGCGCTCTGATATCATGTGACAATATATATACATGAGTCGGTGAAACTCCGACGAAACAGTTTGCCACAGCCCCTCGTTTGTTGTCCTTTTCTCCCTTTTGTCCCTCTCTGCCGCCTACGGTTTACCAGGCAGCTCTGTTTGACTATATATCGTCACAAACAGAACTGCCCGGTAAACCGTAGGCAGAGAGAGAGGAGGACAATTCGATTCTATTATTCATGTATTTTTAGTCTGTTCATCAAGCCGTACTATATGTCTACCCAAACTGCATCCTCCTCTCCTGGATATATTTTTAGCCGTCGTGTTCTTTTCTTCTTTCATTGCTGACCACCTCTTGTTGTGCTGCTTTTCCTCCTCTCTCGTCTTCATTATTATTATTATTATTTTTTTGTTTCCCCCTCTTCCTCAATAAAAACAAAAAAAAGGTCTGATGAGGATTGTCATCGTGGTTCTCGTTTTTTTTTTTTTTGATTCTTATGTCGTTGATGTTGCTAGATCGATTGATTGATTGATCGATGACGATGCAATTTGATTTCTTGATTGGTTGTTCATCGGTAAGTTGATTGATTGATGATGATGTCTTTTGATTTCTTGATTTTTTTTTTTTGTATCGGTAAATTGATTGGTCGATCTATTCACGTACGACCCGGCGATTGATTTGCTCAATAGATTCACTGATTTTTTTTCGTTGGCTGACTGTTTGTTTCGTCATTGGCTCATTGGCCTGTTCGTTGGCTGATTGATTGATCGATCGATTATTTTGATTAGTTGGCTTATTCATCGCCTGATTGATGGATTGATTGATTGTGACTGATTGATCAAGTGTTTGTATGATTGGTTGATTGATTGATACAGTAATTGGCTGATTGATCGATTGATTAAGTGGTCGATTGATCAATTGGTTAATTGATTGATTGATTAATTGATTGATTGGTTGATTCGTTGATTGATTGGTTGGTTGATTGATTGGTTGATTGATCGATCACGAGTGATTTGTCGTTTTGGTACATTTTTCTCTCTCTCTCTCTCTCTCTCTCTTTTCTCTCTCTTTTCTCTCTCTCTTGTCTCTCTTCTCTCTTTTCTCTCTCTTTTCTCTCTCTTTTCTCTCTCTCTTTTCTCTGTCTTTCTCTCTCCGTGCCTCCCTCTGTCTCTCTAACAGCTGGCCAGGAGCTTTGTCGATCTACCAATGACGTATAGCCCAAACTCGTTTTTTTTTGTTTTAAAAAATATTGTTCAGTCCTAAGTTTTCGTCTAAAAGAAGAAGAAGAAACTAGTGATCAAACAGTAACCAGAGTCTGCTTCTCGTACACGCAACGATAGAAATTCATCTCTCTTTCTCCGCATGTACTGTTCTCAGTAGAAACTTCATCGCAAATTCCTCGTCGCGTTTCGGCCAGACTGCGCTCCCTGCACTCTCTTCAGGGGGCTGCTCCCAAGATCGCCTCCCGCTCCACCTACTTTCCACACCATCTGAGAATACAAGAACAAAAAAGAAGAAGAACAAAAAAGAAGAAGAAGAACAAAAAAGAAGAAGAAGAAGAAGAAGAAAGAAGAAGAAAAATTGCATTTTTTTGGTTCATGATCCGATCTCAAGAATCGAAAAGGCGATGTCAACCAAAAACGGCTAAGAAGCTGACCTGGGTGAAAGTCACGCCCCAAGATGATGAGCACTTAACCCTACCCAGCACGGATTTCTCAGTGTGACGTCCCGGTGTGTACCCAGTCACACTCACACCCGACCAGATCAGACCAGACCCCAAAGGCCTGTCCCGGCCGCCACCTGTCAATGTGTCTCCTCACTGCCGGTTTGAATTTGACCGCAATTTCGGCGATTTAAGTACCGACATCGTTCTGGGCGTACCTGCTTCCCGCCAGAAGGACCTGACGATTTGGGGTTTTAAAAAAATCGCAGAAATCAAATGGATTTGACCGCAATTTCGGCGATTTAAGAACCGACATCGTTCTGGGCTTACCTGCTTCCCGCCAGAAGGACCTCACGATTTGGGTTTTAAAAGAAATCGCAGAAATCAAATGGATTTGACCGAAATTTCGGCGATTTAAGAACCGACGTCGTCCGCGAACGGCAAAATCAAATATATGCCCAAAGGAAGGTGTCTTTTCTGGGCGGACAGCATCAATCAACGACCTCCCCATCAACAATTTGATCAGTGGACAGTGGATTTGTCAGTTGATTCGAAAACTGAAAAGAATATATAGAATTGAATGAATCGAATACAGGATCATCCGTTTAAAAAAATGAATCGAATATAGGGTCACCCGCTAGGCTACCAGAGTGGCCCGGGTCCACTGGCCCGGCCGGGCCGAAAAGAAATAAAAATAAAAAATAAGAATTTATTTTTTAATTAAAATTTTTGTTTTAAATTTGGTAAAGAATTTTGATGTGACCCTGAGGCAAAAGTTGTTCAGTTTATTTTTCTGCATAATATAGTTTGTTTTCGGATTTTTTAGATTTTTTTTTTTTTTTTTTTTTGGCTGGGACCTTCCCTAGTCCTTGCACGGCTGGGCCGCCCGGGAAAATAGGGTGACCCCGGCGGCCCGGCTGGTAGCCTAGGTCACCCGCTAAAATGAATCGATTTTTTATTTTATTTTATTTTTTTTTCAAAATGAATTCGGAATATGGGATCATCCGTTAAAAATATATAGGGTCATCCGTTAAAATTGGAAGGGGGATAACCATAAAGAGTAGATTAGCGTGGGCCCCTACGCAAGGATGACACGCACAAATCCGAGAAATGCTCCAAAAGAAAAAAAAAGAAATAAAAGAAGAAGAATGCATGGAATACGAAATAAATGAATAGAATTTGAAGTTAGCAAAGCAACCTGTGTTTAGCGGTTTTTTTAATTATATAATATAATATAAAATAGAAATCTGTTGAAACTAAAAAAATTATAAGTAAAGATGAATACTCAGATTTTTTTTTTTCTTGAATAAGTTATGACGAAGAAACAAAAACCAATATTTTTCCGTCTTCTAAATTCATAAGTTAAATACATGAAATATTGCATGTCATTAGTTAATACATTTTTACATTGTTGTTTTTTATACGAGTTAATCCTATGGCGTGTTTATTATTTATTTTTTCAAATCAATCAATCAATCAATCAAATCAATCCAATCAATCAAATCAATCAATCAATCAATCATTCAATCAATTAAGCAATTGATCAATGAATTAATCAATTGATCATTCAATCAATCAATCGATTGGCTTCATGCGCGCTGGATTGCCTTCTTGTAATTAGTCCATGTGTCTATCGGAATCTTACTGCATTCCCGCCATTTTTTTTTGTCTATTGCGAATTGTTTCTTGCGGTGCATCCTGATCTTTCATTTGATTCCCGCCAATTTTTTTGTCGTTTCTTGCGTTCCATGTTGTTCTCAGTAAAAGAGGAGTTGGAGGAGGAGGAGGAGGAGTTGGGAGGATTGAAGGAGTTGGGAGGAGGAGGTCTTACTGCATTCCCGCCATTGTTTTGGTCGTTTTTTGCCTTCATTTGATTCCCGCCATTTTTTGTCGTTTATTGCCTTCATTTGATTCCCACCATTTTTTTTTTTGTCGTTTATTGCGCCTTCAGTTGATTCCCGCCATTTTTTTGGTCGTTTTTTGCCTTCATTTGATTCCCGCCATTTTTTTGGTCGTTTATTGTCTTCCATGTTATTCCAATCAATTGAAGTTGGGAATTTATGATTTTATTGATTGATTGATTTGATTGATTGATTGATTGATTGATTGATTGATCGATTGATTGATTGATTGATTTGATTGATTTGATTGATTGACTGATCAATCAAAGGAGTTGGAGGAGGAGGATTTTGAGGAGTCGCGCGCAGTTGGAGGAGTTGGAGGAGGAGGTGGAGTTGGGAGGATTTCGAGGGGAGGAGTTGGACGACGGAGTTGGGAGCAGGGAGTTCGGGAGTAGGGAGTTCGGGAGTAGGGAGTTCGGGAGGAGAGTAGTTGAGGAGGATTTGAGGAGAAGGTGGGAATAGTGACAAGCAACGGCCAAGTTACACTCTGTACACGCAAAATTCAAGTCATCAGAAACCGCATGTAAACACTTGCTCAAGATTGCGCATCATCCTCTACGCGTTTCAACGAGATGCGCTCCTTGTCTCATCAGGAGGCAACCACAGAAGTCGAAGGTCCACTTGGAGGAGGCAGTTGAAGGAGGGAGATGGAGGAGGAGGGATAGAGTTGAAGGAGGGAGATGGAGGAGGCAGATGGAGGAGGGAGATGGAGGAGGCAGATGGAGGAGGGAGATGGAGGAGGGAGATGGAGGAGGGAGTTGGAGGAGGGACAGGCAGGAAAGGTAAAGAGTACACAGGACGAGGTTTAGGAATAATGGAAGAAAAGCATTAGTGTGTAAAAAAGGAGTCCAAGGAAGGAGAAGGAGAGGGAGGGGAGGGAGAGAGAAAGGAAGGGGGAGGAAGAGGGAGGAAGGGGGAGGGAGAGGGAGGAAGGGGAGGACGAGGGATTGGAGGAAAGAGGAGGACGAGGGATTGGAGGAAAGAGGAGGAGGGGAAAAAGAAGAGGGAGGGGGGGTGTGGGAGGGGGAAAGGAGGGTGAAGAGGGAAGGCGAAGAAACGAGGGAGAAGAAGAAAGTCCACCGAGTCGATCGGAGGTATGTACCAATTAACTCGTGACTGATTGGTAGCCATCAATCAATGGAGAGAAGGCATCAAATAAGTCTTACCGATCTTGTACGTTCAATTGATTAATGATTTGATTGATTGATTGATGATTGATTAATGATTTGATTGAGGATTGATTGATTGGTTGATGATTTGATTGATTGATTGATAACTGACTAATGATTGACTGATGATTGTTTGAGGATTGATTGTTGATTGATCATTGATATGATTGATGACGGATGGGTAATAGACTTGATTGATTGATTGATTGATTCATTGAGTGATCGGAGTAGGTCATTTGCTCCATGTTTGATGAGACAAACGATAAGTTTTTAAAAGAGAAAGACTGATGTATTTTTCTTAATTTAGACAAATGATGAGACAAACAGTGATCGGAGTCAGGAGGTTGAACCTGGACAGACAGTCTGCCCAGGATGCATTTGACTGATGGACAAGGAGGACTCACCGCGTCACCCAGAGTTAGCCATACCCACCTTTGAGAGAGAAAAGTCGTCGACTGTACTCACACCAACCCTGCAATCCCAGCAGATTGTACTTCCAAATTCCTGGGCAGACTGTCTGTCCAGGTTCAACCTCCTAATGAGTCCTTGTGTGTGTGTGCTTGCGCGTGTGTGTGTGTGTGTGTGCGTGCGTGTGTGTCACGAGAGAGAGAGAGAGAGAGAGAGAGAGAGAGAGAGAGAGAGAGAGAGAGAGAGAGAGAGAGAGAGAGCAAAAAAGAGTTTCGTTAGACTTTCACCGACTCATTAGGAGCTTGAACCTGGACAGACAGGCTGCCCAGGATGCATTTGACTGATGGACAAGGAGGACTCACCACGTCGCCCAGAGTTAGCCATACCCACCCTTGAGAGAGAAGAGTGATCGACTGTACTCACACCAACCCTGCAATCCTAGCAGACTGTCGTTCCAAACCCCTGGCAAGAATGGCAGTAAGTATGAGAATCTACCGTCCGGTCTGGCGGGCAGTCATTGTAGCTGTACTTGGGTCGACTTTCAGTCCACATACAGCGTTAAGAGGGCCATACGTTCTATTCGGGGGATGTATGGTCATTATAGCTATTTTTGGGTCGACTTTCAGTCCAGATTCAGCGTTAAACCACCAGTATTTCTTAAAGTCGTGCCCGTACTGGTGGTTTAAGGACCATAGTTTTTCCTATTTGGGAAAAGACGGTAGTCTGTCACAGCCATAAAACCCACTCTACACCCCCACTCAGCCATGGATATAAGTCTGGACACACGTTTTCTGTATTTCTTTCTTTATTTGATTTTGTGGACACACGTTGATGTGTAGGTAGTGCGCTATACAGAAGAAGGCTAAAGTATAAACGAGTTGCTTTGATTCTGCTCACACTGCGAGAACTCACATTCTTTTTTTGTGTTTTTGTTTTGTTTTTGGGGTCTGTGTATTTGTTCCCATTCTGATGTTGTATTCAGAGACCTGAACGAGATCTTGAATCTGTATGAGAAGGGCAAGAAATTCTATCTGTACACTGGGAGGGGACCTTCATCAGAGGCGCTTCATTTGGGCCATTTGGTGCCCTTTTACTTCTGCAAGTAAGTGGCCAGGGATATTCACACAATTCCCTCCACCCTCTGCAACCCCCCCCCCCGGCCCCTTCCGCCCCCCTTTTTGGGGGATTGAAGCAATTAACGGGGAGAATGCGAGAGACTGGGCCTGTGGTAGAAGACAGGGAGAGGGGGCAGATTATCTCTTGCTTCTTTATCAGGTTGCAAAATGTTGATTGAGGGAATTTGGGTGGGGAGGCGGGTGAGGGAGGTGGAGAGCGGGGAAGGGTGTTAAATATCCGAGGCAGAGGGAGGGGGGTTCGAAATATTAAGGGGAGTGGGAAGAGGGGGTAAGGGTGTTAAATATGTGGGGAAGAGGAGGGGTTGGCGATGGCAGATATGGAGGTGGAAGGAGGGGTAAAGAAAAAGGGGGGTTGCTGGAAGGAAGCGGACCGTTGCAGGCTGGCGGCTGAGCAAGAGAAAATTTTCCTGCCAGTCGGTAGTTGGGGAAAATTTTCCTGCCAGTCGGTAGTTGGGGAAAATTTTCCTGCCAGTCGGTAGTTGGGGTACAAGAAGAATATGGATGGTCTATAATCATTTATGTTTTTATTATATATATATACCCTCTCTGCCTATGGCTTACCGGGCAGCTCTGTTTGACTATATATATTATATACACATCCACATGGGCGGCCTTGTACGCAAGAGGTTCTGAACAGGGGAGTTGTAAGGAAGAAGATAAAAAATGAATTGGTATCTTTTTTGTTTCCTTCTGTTTTTTTCTCTCTTGCGCTCTGATAACTTTGTGACAATATATGTATTGTCAAACAGAGATATATATTGTCAAACAGAGCTGCCCGGTAAACCGTAGGCAGAGAGGAAGAAGAGGACAACAAACGAGGGGCTGTGACGAACTGTTTCGCCGGAGTTTCACCGACTCATCAGGAGGGTATATATATATTGACGGTCGTTTCCCATAATTTGACTCGGCAGCTGGGTATAAGAGAAATTGCTGCCAGCCGGTTGTTGGAAGGGTATATGAATAATATGGCCCGGTCCGGCCCAGAATTTGAACCAGGTATGTTACGGACTCCGCCAGGCCTCGATCCCTGGTCTATCTTTTTGCTGTTTCGGCCGCATCCTGTTTTCGGCCTGGCACCCTTTTTCCAAACCCCTCCTTTGGTACCGTAGGATTTTGGACAACTGGCGCCATGCTGCAATTCGGGCACCACTTTCAAATGCCCCTGGTACCGTACGTGTCACCGGTACTTATACCGGCTCCCCGTACGGTACGGGGAGCAGGCTCGTCCCAGTTTTCTGCTGCTGTACTCGTACTCAGTGGACTTGCTGTTTCGGCATTCGGAATCCAAGACTTCGACTTTGTGCCTTGCCACTGTGTCTGCGTCCGACCCTCAGTCATGTTGAGTGAGTGAGTGTGTGTGTGTGCTCTCACTCTCTCCCTCTCTCTCTCCTCTCCCTCGGCTCTCTCTCAGCCTCACGCCCGTCACAAGGTAGGTCCATAGTTTGGACGAGGTATGTCCATAATTTGAACACACTGGTTGTTGGGTATGACAGCAATTTGGCGGTACCAACCATGGACTGGGGCCTGGCAGGCAAAGAATTTCCATGTGTCGTTTCCCAGGGTTTATGTGCAAGATGGGCCTGTGGTTTCCTGGGCAAATGGATAATTCCCATCTTTAAACAAGGTAGAGATGCAATGCTCCCTCTTGTCTCTTGAGGGGGAGGGTTGGGCTACTATGCATCTTGAGGGGGAGGGTTGGACTAAATGGGGTACAGATGCAATGCCCCCAGCATGGGGTGAAGGGCCTTTCTCCTCCTCAGCAGTTTCACACCGTGCTCCCGTCCTCTGTGGTTTCTTCCGCTGCTTCCCTTCTCGTATCCCATTGTCCTCGTCCTTGCCTCTCCTTCCTTTTCTCCCTTTCCCTTTTCTCTTCTTTCTGTCTGTGGCTCTTTCCTATTCACCCCCTGTTCTTGCCCTCCCCTCTTCTCTTCCTCTTTTCCTTCTTCTCTCTTTCGCACTCCCCTACTCTCCTTTTCCCTGTCCTCTCATGCCTGCCTCTTCGTTCCTTTTTCTGCTCTCCTCTCCTTGTTGTGCATGGTGTCCTCTTCATCTCCAGTCCACCCATCTCTCCTCCCTTTCTCTGTGCCTTTTTTCTTCTCGTTTACTCCCTCCTCCCTCCTCTCTCTTATCCTTTTCTCTCCTCTCGTCTCTCCTCTCTCCTCTCTTCCCTCTCTCTCCTTTAATCTGGTGCCTGCCTCTTTGTTCCTTTTTCTTCTTTCCTCTCCTTGTTGTCCATTGTGTTCTCTTCTTCTCCCCTCCTCCATCCCTCTTGATCTCTTCTTCTCCCCTTCTCCATCTCTCCTCCCTTTCTCTGCGTATCCTTTCTTCTCTTCTCTCCTCCCTCCTCTCCTCTCTCCTCTCTCCTCTCTCCTCTCTCCTCTCTCCTCTCTCCTCTCCTCTCTTTGCTCTCCTCTCTCCTCTCTCCTCCTCTCTACTCTCTCCTCTCATCTCTTCGCTCTCTCCCATCGTCTTGCCCACCTGTTTTCCTCCCCTTTCTTACTTGCAATCTGTGATCTTGTCTGTGTGTGCCAGGTACGTACAGGGTGCATTCAAAGTGCCTTTGGTCGTACAGATCCTCCCTCCTCCCTCCTCCCTCCTCCCTCCTCCCTCCTCTCCTCTCTCGTCTCTCCTCTCTTCTCTCTCCTCTCTTCTCTCTTCTCTCTTCTCTCTTCTCTCTTCTCTCTTCTCTCTTCTCTTCTCCTCTCTTCTCTGCTCTCTTCTTTCCTCTCTTCTCTCTGTTCCCTCTCTTCTCCTCCTGTTTTCCTCCGCTTTCTTACCTGCAATGTCCTGGCGTATATGTCATCTTGTCTGCCAGGTACTTGCAAGATGCATTCAAAGTGCCTCTGGTGATTCAGATGACAGATGATGAGAAGTGCATCTGGAGAAATTTGTCCGTGGAGGAGAGCCGTCGGTTGGCACGGGAGAATGTCAAAGATATCATTGCTTGTGGATTTGATATGTCCAGAACATTCATCTTTTGCGACTTCGATTATGTTGGAGGGTGAGTGTTCAATCCTGCAATCAGTCATCTGTCATAATCGATAGTTAGTTCCGTAAATTTTCGCCATTGCTTGTGGACTTTATGTATACATACATTGATGGTGCGAATCTTCAATGAAGTTACGTTTGTGGCTTGGCGCAGATTGTATATATGATGGTGCGAATCTTCAATGAAGTTTCTTTGATAGGTTGGTGCATTTTTTCATGATTGCTAGTTGGTTAGTGTATATTTGGGAAAAAAAAAAGAACATACGTACATCTTCTTTTGTGTAAAAGGGAAAATCCCATGCAGGGCTAATAATGTCTGACGACCTTTCTTTGGCAGTTCAATTTCTCTTTCTTTCTTTTTTTTTTTTTTTTTTTTTTTTTTTTTTTTTTTTTTTTTTTTTTTTTTTTTTGACTTGTGTATTTCATGAGTCATGAACGTAAATTTGTCTTTTGTGGCTTCAATTGTGTAGGATGGTGAGTGTTTAATGAAGTTTCATTGGTGGTTTCAAACCTTTTTTTTTTTTTTTTTTTTGGTATTAAACCTTCAAGTTTCAACTTTAAAACCTTAAACCACCAGTACTTGGCCCAGTTATCAGCTGCGGAAAAAAAAAGAGTAGTAACGTTTCTAGTTGGATGAATTTGGTCTCTCCTGTAGTGGCCGGTACGTTTCATAAAATCGTCGCTTGTTAACGGGCACAACTTTAGGAAAGTACTGCAGTGGGTTGAATACACCTTCTGTTTCTGGTCACTTTCTGTTTCTGGTCAATTCGATGTATGAAGAACATGCATGTGTCTCTTTTGCACAACTCCGGTGACGTTGGAGGAATAATAATATAATATTTAATATTTATGTCAAAAAAGGTTTGGAGTCTTTTTCATGCTTGAGCGTCTCATTGCACAGACATCCAAAAGAAAGTCGGTAGTGTATCCCAAAAGGGGTAAAAGCTAACGAGAACAGAAATCTCGTGCAGAGCGAACAGGCAAAAAACTCATTTGTTTTTTTTGATTTACGAATTGAAAATTTAAAAGCATGGCCTGTTTACGGTTTAGCGTTTCAGGATTTGAAGCTATAAGAGATGTTTGAGTTACAAAAAAAAAAAGAAAACCTTAAAAAAAGTTAGTTGGCAGCGTCCCTACTGTCTCCCAAAAGGCAGTTGGTAGTTTACCCCATAAGACAGTTCGGTAGTTTACTCCAAAATTTGAGTCTGCTGGTGGCGGGTTCACTGCTGGTGGCGGGTTCGCTGCTTGTGGTCACTTTGCTCCATAGATGTCAAGTGGGAGGCGGCTGCGAGAGATGATGTAGTTTTCTGGTCATTTTCAGACATGACTACCATAGACGGGCCCTTGCAGTTATGCCCCTCCCTCCTACGGCTACTGCAGAGGGTCCATTGCAGTTTTGCCCCCGTACAAGTAGGGGCGATTGCAGTTATGCCGCACTCTACATTCGGGGCGATTTGCAGTAATGCCCCTCTACAGTAGCCATATCCTGTAGATGGAAAAGGTTCCGAGGGGCCATTGCAGTTATGCCTCTACTTACTGGTGCATAATCCCTCTACCGGCCAATTGCAGTTATGCCCCTCTACAGGCGGGCCCAGAACAACTTAGTCCCCACAATATATGGTCCAGAACGACTCGAGTCCAGCATGACCCAACTTCCAAAGGCGGATATGAAAACGTCCAGGTGCGCGACTATCTAATATTTCGTTGCGATGCATTCGTGTCTATGTGCTGATTTGGATATGGTGGTTCTGTTGACTTGTTTTATCTTCTTTTGTGTTTTCTTTGGTGGTTGTGATGCTTTCTTCAGCGAGTTCTATCGGAATATGGTGAGGATTGGGAAATGTATCACGATCAACCAGGCCCGAGGGATTTTTGGATTTATCGGAGAAGATTATGTTGCGAAGATGGCTTTCCCTCCTGTGCAGGTTACTCACCTCTCCTCCTTGCCCATTGTTACCCTTGTGGCTGTGTGTGTTTGTGTGTGTGTGTGTGTGTGTGTGTGTGTGT